ATTAGTGATGGGCAACCAGACTCGTTTTAATATTGCCTCTTGTTCATCCTTCGATTCACATGATCTCGAACTGCGATACAGCCTTTGGGTCAAAACGCCTCTGGATTCAGATCGGCGCTGAATGCAGGCAAAACCATCACTAATACCGCGGAACAGTAACCATGCTCTGGTGAAATGTCATTATCCCAATGGAATACTGCCTCCATACCATACAGAATGGCTTCGTCACGCCGAGCCCGTAGGCCCCAAATATGTCCCGTAAAATCCGAAAATTTCATCCGGTGACTTGAATACTGCTAACCGTTTTTGAATTGCACCAATTGTAGTTCTGCGTTTCCGGTTCGTCCAAGTTGATTCTTGTTTTCATCANNTTTTCATCACTGAAATAGACGCAGTTCCATTGATCCTGTCATGTTGCGCCAGTTTAAGCGCACAATAAACAGGTCTCTATTTGAAGTGTTGTGGGCAGTCTTCTTCTTTTTATTTATTTGTGCGTAATCCAAGAAATGTCTTCCCGAAGTCGTTTCATTGTTCGATTTAATCGAAGCAGAGGTCCATTTCTGAGGTATAGCTCCCAGACTTGAAGGCCAAACATATCGACCTGCATTTGTGGTTCTCTGAAATTTTCCAGTGGGTCTCTCTACTGCTGCGATTAAGACACAATGGGTCTTGATCGGATACATGGTTTACCCCGCATCTGGTTTGATAAAGCACTTACACTGACCTTCGCTCTGTATGAGGACGTCTTCTCATGACTCATGCTAGCGATAAACGTTGTTTCCTTGATTTGTAGCTAGCTACTCTACTTTGGACATTGGATCTACAAATGTTTAAAATTTAAGCGTTTGCGCTTTTCTTACATGAGTCGACTCTGGAGTAAGCTTACTCTGGCTTGCATGGTTCGATACAACGGGATCCTTTCGATAATGTCCGTCGCAGAATGACCATACCAAACCATGCCAATTTCTTTAATTTAACTTAAACCCTTCCCCAGAAGGAGGGGCAAGAAGTCATTGTCGCGGCGTTGTTTTGCATTACATCTGTCACTTTTTATTTTTGATGAAAGCTGAGAAACTGAAATTTCTTATTAATTTGATTATTGGTTCTGCGAATGGTACCCAGAAATGTTTCACATGGAATTGGAGATATTGTAAAACCCTAATGGGGGGTAAGAAATTCTTTTTCGATGAATATATACCCCCGTTTTACATATATTCATTATTCTTTGTTTAGAACGTGATTCATTTATCTGTTCAATTCTTTTTCCGATGGTATCATGCGTCCTTCTTGCACTGGACCGTGTGTATGAAGAATCAGATTGTTGAAGTCACCGAAACCGGCACTGTTCCGGAATAGCACAATAGTATCTATCCCCTAGACACGCACGCTGTTGTTGCAACTACCCGTCGTTCATCGGTTGCATTCAGAACGCGATTGCTCATTACATGCATATGAACAGCCCACTCATTCTCGATGCTGTTTCCACTGTTCTAATCCATGTGCTTGATCGAAATTTACATCACCAATAGGTTTGCTATAGTTTGAATCGTTGACGTCCCCATTGAGATGCGTATTTTTTTACAGCAGAGTAACAGTGGAGGATTTGATTCAACCCTGTAATGATTTCGTTATATGTGCAGAACAAACGAAGTGTAAACTGAAAAGTTGGGAACCTTTGGATAGTTGTTTCGACCCGATTGAGTCTCATCAACAGTACAAATCTATGGTCCCAACTGGAGCTCGAACCGAGGACATCATAAGTAGAACGATAGCATACTACCCACTCGACCACCGTGCAGCTGATCAATGAAATGTGATTTTTGCTCAGATTTCACTTCAGGTTTTCATTTGAGTGAAATTTAACCCAAATCACATTCCGGTTTTGTCTGTTTTCAGAAGCGCTTCGAGAGACGAGAAGCCTTGTCGGACAGTGATACCAATAGGCAATTTTGTGACCCGTCCAGGGAGACTGATGAACAGCCTCTCTAGATTATTCTGCGCCTCCCGACCCCACGAGTCTTCAGTAAACAATATCGAACCGGTTAAAGGAAAATCTGATAACCCACTGGGTATTCCTCCTCCTCCGTACTGCCAGGTAACTAGAATGGTATCAGATACGTTATCACCTGGTGCGCATCGTTTTCAGCGTACCCAACCAGTGCATCAAACCAACGTTCCCTGGCCACATGCTGATATATCTTGTCCGTTTTGTCGAGTGGAACTGCGGCAAGTTGCGCATCAGTTGCGTGAATACAATCGGGCTGTCCCCGGTTGGCGCCGAATGTTTCATCCTCACCAGGCATTCAAACGAACTACTACCAATTCGCATTTGTTCACCCCGTGTGATGGCGTTGGACGAAAGCCGCATCATCATCATCATCACCACCACCACCACCGTCAGTATGGAGGGCATACACAGCATCCACAACAAGCAGAATGCAAATTGTCCTCAACACTACGAACTGCAGCTCACGTTCATTCCTACGATCTGCGCCAACCTCAATCCTACCGCGTGACCGGTGCTACCTTCGACGGGACTCAGGCAACTCTGAGTGATAGTAGCGAATCAGCAACTGCCTGTCGATTACAGGGTGTGCGTGTGACAGTGGAGCCACCCGAGGTAATTCGGTTGCTATTTTCTGTTCCTTTCCCCTACTACTCCTCCTAGCATATTTTAGTCGTGACAGCCAAAATCTGCTTATTTGGCTCCCGTTTAGATTAAAAAAAGATCAACCAAGGATTTTAATTCTTTCAAGTGAAAGAATTGAATTGGTAGATAGAGTTCTGTGCGTTTTAGATACTCGGAATTGGTTTACCGAGAAATCGTTTTAAAAACGTTTATCTCATATGTGATGAATGAAATTCTCAATCCTTTGAACAAACTTTCTTCACTGTCTCTTTGTTCCGACGCATCGTGTCTACTGTCGCTGTGTTTGATGTTCCAATTCACTCAATGCTAGGTAGAGCGCATCGGTTATTTCTGAACCATAACATGAGACGGTGAACCTCTACCAATCGAAACGAACTCACAAACATAACAGCATGCACCAAATCCCGCGTGATTGGGACATTCGTATTTCGGTGTGCTCTCAAGTCAAGTCAGGTCACTGGTAACTTCACGCACATGGATGGGTGAATTTCCAGCTGTTTACATCGCATCACAAGCAGGCTTACGAGATATGGAAAAACAGATTTACGATATGAAGTGGTATGTTCAAATAACACTTTGAACATTGATTGTGTGGGCGATGTGAATGCAACGTTTGGAAGTTCCTTGTGTATGGGGCATGAACGTCTGAGAGTATTTTAGCAGTAAAATGTTAACATGTTTGTAGCTGTCTGTCCATGGTCCTAAAGCAACTGTTTAAAAGGCGGGAATAAATATCTATCCCTGTAGATGAAGACAATTTCAAACGGGCAACGCGTATTAAAAAATGAACAAATACAGTCAGTAACCTTTTCGGATGGAACTGATGGGCTCTCTAGTCTGACACCACAAACAAATCTGTTGTAGTCATCAAAGATCTTAACTTCTCTAAGTTATCCAATGAGCAATTCCTTTGATGCCTTGTCCTGGGTGGTCCTCTTAGTATTTCATTCCGGTTGGTGTGCAACCAGGCACATTTTTAAAATACGATGATCGGATTTAGAGTCGCACGTCTCTGAGCGTTTAAAAATTGCGTCTGTTTGTAAGAACAAAAGGCAGTTTTGCATCAAATCTGGTGGGAAAATGCACCCATTTTGGGAAGGTTACATTATGTTTATTAAAATCGGCAACAACTGTGCACAAAGATTCAATTGTTCGTGGAAGTAGAGAGAAAAATTTCCAAAAATGTATTCCTTTCAGATTCTGATATATTAAGTACCGAGTAAATGTTTCCAAGACGTACGGAATGAAACCCACTAAAAATCAGGTTTACATTCAATTGTGTGGGGCTGATCCGTCGAGTATTCTCAGACCAAGACAGTTGATGTTAGCAATATCGACATCTCATTCTCTTTTGTGGACACTAGTGGAACGACCAGTTCGATGGAAATTATAACCATCCATGTGTATGATTTCACTGAGAATTTCTTCGTGCAGCCACTATTTTTTACCATAATCATCCTAAGGATTTTTACTCCTTTCTTCGCATGATGCCTGCTACTTCATCGCTTTTTCTCAACGGAGAGCGAATATTGCTCTCTAACGTGAAAGGAATTTACATTTTTCGAGTACTGCATTGTCTGGGACCCACTTGCCGACTTACGCGTTGTTTTCTCCATCTGCCAACTCGTTTCTCGATGATCCGCTTGAGCGTGTTTCTCACTTCGTTAGCATAATTCACAACAAAATTTGCGAAAACGCCTAGACTTTATAAGCCTGCTCGTGTAAGTCGGCATTGTCGCCTTTCGAATTGGTCCAGATGCGATGGATGATGAATAATTCCACAAAGATGGTATACTATGATGTTCCAGCGAAACGGAACAGCCGAATTCAAAAGCCCAGCTAAATCCTCGCCAACAGGCAAAAGAAAATAACAGAAAACCAGCCAGTGTAACATCAAGCCTGGAAGTGATACAAGTGTAGTGTTGTACTCTTTGTTGTCATCTTCGTCCCTCGGCTCGTTGGGTTGAGTGAAATGTTGATCGACTGTCAACAGAAATATGACTTTCTTTCTGGGTAGTTCATAAAGATAGTTTTCTCTGTTACCTGGGATCGCCAGTAATTCTTCTCCGACTCTTGCACAGTTTACGTTCCAGTCACGTTCACCCGCATCACGTATCTTATTCTTGGACTATGCATGCGATACACAAACAATCATATTGGGACCGGTTCTCGGTATTTGTCTACACCATGCTTCATATTCATCATTGTTCACAAGATTTTGCCTTCATTTCACCCTATCCAGGTTCAGTATCATAACGGTCCGTTGTCATCAGATTCGAGCAGCTCTCCGACCAATAGTGACCCGGGTGAAGGTGGTTGCAGTTCGGACTTGCAGCCTGTTGCACACACAGTAATCACAAATGACCCGTCCTAAACGCCAACCATGTTGGTCAGAGTGAAGCGTGGCTATCTGGACCCAGGTTGATCTCCAGTGTATCGGACCCATCCCTGGCC